GTCACTCACCCATAACTCCGTCCGGAATAGCGTAAATCAGCGAGCAAAAATTGGTGTTTTCCTGTCCGCGATATAGCGTAAATCAACCTGTGAGGGCCTCATCCTTGTCCGCCATAGCGTAAGTCAAGCCTCGCACGAGAATTTTTTTGGAGTAAAAGGGCCCGCCGCAGCCGATTTTGAGTCCGATTTAAGCTTTGAAGCGGGCGGAAATCATCTGCGTCGAAGGTCCGTGGGCCGCAAAGAGGCTCTGGTTGCGGAAAAAAATTGGTGAAAAATGGTGTGGGAGAAAAAAATTGAATTTTCCGTCCGTCATAGCGTAAATCAGGCCTCAGAGCGCCAAATTTCATAGCGTAAATCAACAAAAATTTTCGGAAAAAGGTTATGGGTGAGTGACCGGGGGCCTCCTCTCACACACGGAATGCCATGTGAAAATGATGTGCCCTGGTCGGGACCGCGCAACGGAATCATATAGCGTGGGGGAAACCCGTCCGCCTTCAGCTTACCCAGAACGGAAAGCCCGCGATGCGGAGACAGCCTCGAGGCATCATTCCGAAAAATGATGGTTCGTGGTTCCCGCCACCCCACGTCGTCGGGTACCGCCCAGGCGCAGCAGACCCGGAGTACTGATAGACTAATGTCCTATCGCAGGCGGGAGGAGAGTCGCGGGAGGAGGATAATCTGAGAAACGACTTGGAAAGTCTGTTTTCTTCTTTCGTTCCTATCCGGTGATTCCCGGCACTCCATCGGCCAATTCCGGGTATTTAGTCATCAATGATGAAACTCCGACACTTGCTCTTCCCCACCCAATCCCCACCGTCGCGTCTCTTCCCGCCGTTCCTGGCGCCTCCCACCGCCAAAATGCCTTCCAGCACGACTTAATGGTGACTCTGTCCGAGCATTCATTCTCCCACACCGCCTAATTCTCGTTATTTCTGGCGGCCGCCGGTCTCTTTTTCCCTTCAAGTTCCCCCCTTTGGTAGGCGTGTAGGACGTCAAACAAGCCCTACGATGGACCCAAAATTTTGTCTGGGAACTGTAGAAGACAATCCCACCTCGAAAGAATATTCTGCTTTTTACGTCCGTGGCCGCATTTTACGCTTTCAGTTATATCGCCCAGTAATTCTCTCGGATTTTCCAGATTTATGGTTGCCGGTCCCAGCACGGAGACATTTTCTCTCGACGTCGATCAAGCGTGGCAGTGAATGCAACCGCATGTGAGACTGCATTCGTAATCTGAGACATTCGCTAACTTAGGCTGCGTATCTTATCAGACCGAGACCGCTGGCGGCGAGTAAGGGCGCGAAGCCCTGGTCCTCTTTGCAGACATTTCGTGTCATTAACACACGATATCAAGCTGGGATAAAATTTCTGGAATTTGGGTATGGGAAGCTCGCGGACTCTGACTCTCAGGACATATATACACGATGGTGAGTCAATGCTTTGCAGGTAAACGATCGATACGAGTCGGCTTTTCAGATCTGCCCCATTTGGGCGGCCACACGAGTCGACGACTAAATCTCTCCAATGACTGATGCTTGGTTCCGACATACTCTATTTGGCATCCTCTATGGATCGAGTTTTGATGGGAGATTCTCCGTCAATCAAATCGCAAAAAACTTGAAGACTTGGTTAGGGGTGGGGGAAATTCGTGCATTTCGAGGTGAAGCCTTGGGTGAGCCCGTCGCGTATTCCGATGGTCAATTTCTCTCTTAGGCCCTGGGAGACGCACGGGATGGGCCCGGACCGGCGTTCCAGATTCATTCTTATCATCACCATTGTGCGAAGCTTCAACTTGTCCAAGATGATCGAGATCCCCCGATTAGCTGTGTTCTTTGTGCTTACATATCTTAGCACGCGGTCCTCATTGGTTAAAAAAGCTCGAACCAAATCACGCCCGCGTTCCGGCCCCGCGTATATAAGGCCGCGTATATAAGGTCGCGCCATCCCCCTCCTTCCCTGCATCGTTCTAATTTTCCCTACCCAGCGCGCTACCCGTGAGGCCGCTTTGTTCACCTTTGCGACCTGTATTGTCCACGATGCCCGCCGTGCGCACCCGCGAGACACACTCCGCCGCACGACGTTCGTTTTGTCCTCGTCATTCCGTAATGTCTGTGTATTAATCGCAATATTCAGCACTCGAAGTGAGCACATCTGCACCGCCGCCATCCCTGGCGATTATCTCGCCGACTCCGCGCGCATTCGCATTCCCAATCTCCCACAATCTCTCCGACAGTCCCTACTCCTCGCCATCCAACTCACCATTTGACCCCGATCTGCTCGCACTGGCTTTGCCCTCATCACCATCGCCATCGTCTTCTGTCTCCTCCCGCAATGACGAATGTCTAACCCCTCCTCCCTTGTCTGCGTTCACGCCCCCGCTCTCGCTCGCGTGGGCAGCCACTCCACCCTCCCATGCTTCCGCACCAATACGGCGGAAATCGACCAGTAGTGCAGTCGAAGAGCGGCGACCGAAAAGGGGGGACAACGACTACGTGAAGCGCCCCGAGAACGCATTCATTTTGTTCCGGCGCAAGTGCTGTGAGGACCGCGCCTTTGGCTTACCTTCCCTCTCCACGTCTGCTGCATCCGGCCCATCTTCGGCCGACTCCCCGTCTCTGGCAACGAACGCGGCAGCGAAGAAGCCGCGCCAAGCAGATCTTAGCAAGACGATATCGCAGCAGTGGAAGGCGCTGTCTCCTGAGGAGCGTGCGCACTGGGAGGCGCTCGCGAAGGTGAAGAAACGCGAGCACGAGACGCTGCATCCGAGCTATGTCTATCGCCCACAGCGCCGCCCCAACGCGTCCGCCGCCGCTGGGTCGTTGTCGTCGACCACCACCCAGCGCAGGAAGCACTCAGTCCCGCCGTCACAGCAGGTCGAGTTCGTCGTCCCGACACCTCGCGCGCAGCGCAGTCCCAGCGCCGGCGCATCGACGCCGCCGCCGTACCAGGCCATCCAGATCCCCAGCGTCTACCTCGGCTCGTCGAGCGGACCCTTCTCCGCGGATGGAGGCGGTGAAAGCCCGACGAGTCTCGTGTCGATGATCTCGCGGCGTGGGTTGGGGAATGGGAATGGTGGTTTCGACTACCTGCCCAGCTTCCAGGGTGCTTTCGATTTCGAGGCCAGCCTCGAGGTACGACATCTCTCTTTCTCCATTCCTCATCGTATTGACGCGGCTAGCCAGTCGTCCGACTTCCTCCGGTCGATGTTCCAGACGCTGTCACCGACGTCGCCGCAGTCAGCGAGCGCAGGTGGCATCCTTTCCCCCGTATCCAGTGCTTCCAGCTCGGGGCCGTCGTCGCCATATACACCTGCGAGCGCGTCCTTCCATCCCTCGGCCTTCTCCTCGTCATATACCGCGCGTTCCGCATTCTCTCCTCCGGTGGGCACCGCCGACACGTCGGACAACGCACCCCGCGACATAGGACATGTGCTGGAAGCCCCGAGCTGCGAGCCTGCGATCTCCACGGGTATGGAGCCTGACTACTCGTCGTACGCTTCGGCGTGGATGGCGTCGTCGCCGTGGGCCTCGGATACCACCGGGGGAGGACTTGCCGAGGGCGACTTCGACATAGGGCGCATCCCGGAGATCGGCTGGGAGCTCAGCTGCGCGGCATTACCGGGGAGCGACTTTGCGGCGCCGTACGATGGCGGGGAGATGCACGGGTTTGGCGAGCAGAGCATGCCGGGGGAGCCGAGAGAGCTCGACATCCACTTCGGCGAGATGGGAGAGATGGGCTTCGACGAGATGATGGCGGGCCTGAGGTCCTAAGCTTGTTTGGCGGTCCCGACATTGACACCACCGCTTCCTGTCCTTTCTCCGCGCACTTCACTCCACGCTCGTTGAAGCCGCACGCTCCTTCGCTCCTTTAAATCCCCCTGTACGGAATACACCTTTGCGCAACCGCCCTTTTCCTTGTACAAAACCACCCCCACCTCCGTTTCCTATATCTATGCTGGCGATTACTCCACTTACGACGTACGTTACAACGGCAGTCCGATCCTGCCCTTGTCTTGCTTGTTTGCGGTTCCTTGTTTTCTCCGTTGTCTCCGACTACCCTCCTCCTTGTACACCCCGTCTCAGCCGTGTCCGCGCTTGGCTGCGCCTGCGCATCGCCAATGACGGCCGCGTTTTGCAGCAAGATCCTTGGATGAGTATCGCTCGAGGTCAAGGACCAACATCATTCTATTCCGGTTTTACTGACGGTGTTGCACTCCCAGGGCCGGTGGACGTTGTTTCTTCAGGTGGCCCATTTGCTTGAAGTTGGAATGCGAACCGCGGTGTGAAGGTAAAATTCCTGGCTGGGGCGCGCTCGTCCAAATACCTCTTTGTTTTTATGCCACAAGAAAATGCGTCAGCAGAGAGGACAGAACGGTATGGGTATTACTTCTGCGCTCTCGGTCGGAGGGAGTATCATGACCCGAAGTGTGGCGGGTCCCGATCACACTAGGTATCTCAGAAACATAGGGATGTGCGTGCTCTGCTGGCCAGAATTATCAGATGTACGTTGAGATAAATCATTCTGGGGCAAGGGCATGTGCCAGATCGAAGCACCAGAAAACCAAGTTCAACTGTTGAACAGGAAGTCTTCCAGGATCGATGGTATCGTCCTGTCCCAGTACCATGGACGTACACGAGGAAGATGGTGGTTCGTTTCCCTCCTAAGGCATAATGAAGTCCAACGCAGCCTATTTGGCTTGAAATTCTCCTTCGGACAACAATGTCGGTGGTAAAATGTTGAATTTGATCAAAATGCGGGCATGATGAGAGCAGGGAAAGCCGAGTTCAAGTGGGATCGTTCTGAATTGCTGGCGCTCTTTGCGCGGGAGTGAACGTACAATGGGAAAGTGGGGTTCAAATCCGAGGGGACGACGCCTGGTCCTTCCTTTTTATCTTGTCGGAGTCGGAGGGGTGGTCGATGATCGATGATCGGGCAGTCTTGGTGATTAGTTTCGTCGACATAAAAGATCCATAAAGCAAGGTGTAAATGGAGCGTATAAAGCCCTCGAGGATCATGGTGATCGTCCCGTTGCAATAAGGCGTAGGTCTGTGAACCGGGGAGACGGTGGTTCGATTCCACCCGAGGCCGTTGTTGAGTTCCATCGATGATTTTTTTGTTCGGCGGTCTTCTCATATGTTCCGGCCGGAATTGGGAGTCACCAGCTTGGTGGCGCAGTCCAGGAAGAATTGCAAGGACATGAGATCGAAGGAAGACCGAGGCGACGATTTGAGTTGCTCAGCGTTGCTGTGCCGCAACTGCTCCTGGAGATCCTGCCTTCCACGGAGGATCCCGGGTCAGATAAGAAGAGATGAAAGAACACTGCAAGAACGCATTCAAAAACCGGCGATCGAGAAAGTCAACAAACGTTGCCTCACGTGCCTCTATTTTCCGCGCCCTCCGCAGGCAAACAACACAGCCGGTCGGCATGCCCATATGTGATGGGTTAGGGTTAGACTGAATCCCTCTTTCTTTCGCCACCCACACACACCCTCTCGCTGCTTGCCCAATCTTTCCTTCCCACCCACCGACCGCAAGAACTCTACACCCAGACTCTCGCACCCCTACACCGTCTCTGAAAAGATCCCGGAGCCCACGCCCGGGACGGAGGATTACAGCGCAAAGGAGACTCCTAGTGCGTTGATTTTGGCCCGGATCTGGGCGCTCCATCGCTGAACCTCGCGCTAGACGCTTCTAGGCCCGGTATTTCGACGGGCGGACCCGCCGGAAGACGCAGAGAACGAGCAGAGCGGCGCCGACACCGATATCGTGCGTCTTTGCGGCTTGCGGCTTGCGATATCTGGTGCTGATTCTGACTTCGCTGGGACGTTCAAGGCTCTGCCTAGTGGAGATTTGGGACTTGGCCTTAACTGCGGAACGACTCCGACTATTGTCTTGGAGGCGCCCTATATTCTGCGTGCGGATGCTTTTTGTGCAATGTAGCGTCGATTCTGACAGTGTTTTATGCGGTTTCAGGTCGCTTTGAGCGAATTGTATCGCCCGGGACGACTCCGACGATTGTTACGCTCGATTTGATACGGTATGCCGATATCTCGCTTAGCTGCTCCGCTGGCGCTGACAGACAAACTCGCACAGAAAGAGATACACCTTCCTCTGGTGCGCATCCCTACGTGCCGCTGCTCTCAAGAGGCTGGCTGACTTGTTCTCTCGGGCAGATTTGCTTGCACGCGGAGTTAATTGGCCGACGATAGGAAGAGAACGACACACGGCCCAATGATCCATGCTGCCCGCAATTCACGGACCAGCACCAGCACCAGCGTGGCGGAGCCTGCTTGGGACCGCGCGCCCCAAGAACAAGGACAAGGAATATGGGGAGTACGGCAGCGGCTACAATGCGAATGGCGGACAGAGGCACGACGGAGGGTACGCGGGGGCGAATGGGCATGGGAATGCGCACGCGAGTGGGAGCGGGGGCGGGGGGAGGGGGACGTCGACGGTGCCGCAAAAGCGCAAGCTCGGGATGGGGGGCGGTAGGCCGAGGGCGCGGGACGCGGGGGCGGACGCAGGGTTTCTCGGCGCGGGTGGGATTGAGGTTATCGGTGGGAGGCGTGAAGAGGAGGAGGGCGGGGACGAGATCCGTTGCAGATGCGGGTCGAGTGCCGACGACGGGTTCTCGATCGCGTGCGACGTGTGCGGGCGGTGGTGCCACGCCGCGTGCTTTGGGATCTCGAAGGAGAGCGTGCCGGAGGAGTGGGCGTGCTGGATGTGCGTTGCGCGGCACCCGCATGTCGGCGCGAATGGGAGCAGCAAGTCGCGGAGGCGGGGGAGCGTCAGGGCGAGCACCGTCGAGCCGAGTCCGCCGATGGGGAAGGGGGACGAGCTGGCGGAGGACGAAAAGGCGCAGTACGTCGCGCTCGAGGAGGACGTCGTGCCCCATGCGAGCACGCAGCGCAAACTGCGCGCGTACGCCGCGCAGTGGCGCGGGGTGTCTGCCATCTCTACTTCACCTCCGCCCGCTCCTGCGCACACTTCATCCTCGACAACATATCACACCCCCTTCGTCTTCCCCGCCCCGCCGCCCGCGCACCCCACCTCCCTCCACCCGCTCCCGCTCCCGTCGCCCATCCTCCCCCCATCATTCGCGCTGCACGCCGCCGCGCCCGCCCCGCCCGCCACCTTTCTCGCAAAGTACCCCAGCGTCATCACGCCATCCTCCGCGTACCTCCGGGACCCGCTGAGCGGCTACGCGCACATGGGCGTGCCGAAGCGGTTCGTGCATATTGTGGGCCCGCCGCTGGAGGTGGCGCTGGATGCGCGGGGGCGGGGCGGGCGGGGAAGGTGGGTGCGGAGCGGGTGCTGGCCGAATGCGGAGGTGCGGGCGTATGTGTGTCCTGGCGCGGGGGAGAGGGACGCGAGAGGGAGGGGGAGTGGGAGACAGGCGAGGGAGAGGGAGGACGAGGCGCGGACGCATTTCGGGATCTTCGCGACGCGCGCGTTGAGGGAGGGGGAGGAGATTGTGGTGGGGTGGGAGTGGGACGATGGGAATGCGGTGCATCGGGTCGGGGAGGTTGCTGGCCATGGGGAGCATGGGTACGTGCTTTCTTTTTCTTCTTCTTATTCCCTTTCGTTCTGGCCGCCATGCGCTTTCCCTCCCGATTCCCCTTCACCGTTTTTGCCCTCTTCCCGCTCCGTACATTCGTCCGCCCACTTACCCATCTTTTCTCGTGTCGTTTATATACCTCCTTCCCTCCCAGCTATTCCTCCGTTTCACTTCCATTCTCTGCCTTCCTGACGTATCTCCCTTCCCCTCCCCCATTTCTTTGTCGTATCGCTCTGACTTTCCGCGTTTCCCGATCCCCTGATATTCGTATTCCCCTCCTTTCGGCAGCTTTCCATTTTTTCCTCCCACGATCCATTCATCTGTCCGTCCTCGGCCCTTCTTTTATATTCGCACACTCCTCCATTCCGCTCCCCACTTTTATCCTTTCCACTCACACTCACTCCTTATCCTCGTTTACATCTCCCTTCCCTCCTCTTCCTTCTCCTCTTCCTTCGCCCGACCTCGAGCGTCCCCGACACGAATCTAACCTCCTCTCCCCAGAATTCCCCTCACCCCAACTCCCTCGCAGCGCCACCTCCTCGCGCAGCTCGCCAACATCTTGCATGCGCTCGGTGGCGGCGGCGGCGTGGACTGCGCGTGCGCATCCTCGTCATCGGCCACCGCCCCCGCTGCCGCCGGCGCCAAGTCCCCAGTGGTCTTGACGTCGTCATTGCACCCACACGCATCGGGCCCGACGTCCGCACACCCGACGACGACGCCCCCGCCTGCGCCCGCCCGCGCGATGCAGGAGGAGGAGGAGGAAGAAGAAGAGGGTGCGGAGAATGGGAACGGGAACGCGAAGGAGAAGGAGTGCGTCATCCGCGCGATGGAGCGTGCGGTGTTCCCGCCCGCGCCCGTGCCCGTGCGCGCGCCCCCGAAGCCCGTGTACGGCTACCCCCCCGAGGAGATGGACGTCGACGTCGACATCGAGGGCGACTCGGCGTCGGCGTTTGCGTTCCCGGCTTCGTCCTCGATGCACCCCGCCTCGCTCCATCCTGCGGCGGGGTCCTCGATGCTTCACGCGGCGTCCGCGTCAACGCTGCACCGCTCGTCCGCACCCGCAACGCACGCCTCGACGCCCAAGCCCAAGCCCAAGCGCCTCGCGGGCCCGGGGGTGCCGCCGCCCAGCCCCGAGGCGGGCGTCGCCGAGGCGCGCTATCCGTACCTACACGACGGGCGCGCGAGTGGGAGTGGGGCGGGGGTCGGGTCGGGGACCCCGCAGAGGTGGGGCCCGCTCGTCGGCGGGCCGGGGCGTGGAGTCCGCGCGGTCGAGCGCGTGCGGGGCGGCGGCGGGTGGGGCGGGGTGGAGCTTGCGTCTGCGGCCGACGGGTATCCGCACTCGCAGGCGTATTCGTATTTGGGCGCGGAGGGTGGTGGGGAGGGGGGGTATCGCGAGCGCGAGCGGGAGAGACGGAGGGAACGGGAGAGGGAGGAGAGGGAGAAGCCGTACGCGGTGGTGGAGCGCGCGGGCGGGTGGGACGTGCGGCCGGCGGCGTCGGTGTCTGGAGCTGGTGTGGCGAGCACGAGCAAGGCGGGGCGCGAGTGGGAGACGGAGGAGGATGTGGATGTGGATGTCGTGGGCGATGGGGAGGATGGTGCGTTATTCACTGCTTTGTGCTCTTTCGTCCTTGATACGATTCTCTTCATTCCTCTGCTCCCCATTCCATCTCCTTTTGCCACCTCATCTTCCCCTTCGTTCCCTGCACCTCCGTCTTTCTTTGCCCTCCTTGCTTTGCCTTCTCCTAAACGTGCGTACTGACCTTAATCTCGCAGACGCCCCCGAGCGTCCGCGCCGCCGCGACAAAGAGCGGGAGCGGGACGAGCGGCAGGAGGAACGGCGGAAGGTGCACGAGGCGACGTGCCCGCCGAAGATGCGCAGGCGGTGGCGCGCGGGCGGGGACGCGCCGCCGCCCGCCGCTGCTATCGTCGATCTTACTCAGCCTCCGGCTGGTGTCGATCTCCCTCCACCCCTGCGCGATGTGGAGATGGGAAAGGGAAAAGAACGGGCACGCGCGGAGGACGAGACGATGGAGGTGGATGTAGACGCCGAGGTCGAGATCGATGTGGAAGTCGTAGACGCCGAAGCGGAACCAGGTATGTCGTGCTGCCGTCGCATTCGGCGTCCCGGACACTGATCTTCCTTTAGATTCGGGTGTAGGGCGACCAGATCCATCGCCGCCCTTTGCGCCTCCGCTGCCACCAGAAGCCGGACGAGTGCAGACTGCGCCGCGCCTCCGGCCTCCGCTCCCCCCGTCGCTCGTCCGCCAGCAGCTTGCGGTGGGCACGTCGCCGAGCGCGAGCTTCGCGCGCCTCAGCCTCGTCTCGCCGCACCCCGGCGCGGGAGGCGTACGACCCGCGTGGCTCGCTGCGAATGTAGGTGGTGGTGTCGGTGTTGTCGCGGATGTCGGAGAACGGGATGTGGAGGTCGACGTGCTGGGCGAGGAGAAGGGGATGACTGCGCGTTCTGCTTCTCCTGCGGACGCAGTCTCTGCTGTAGATCCAGAGGCAGTGCGGGACGCCCATGCAGAGC